AAGATGGAACGCTCTATTCATACATATAATAAAATTTTAGCTAGTCTGTATAGCGGTTTTCAAATAAGCTTTTTTCTTACTTTGTGTATTCGAAAATAAGAGCTGTTTATCTGCTTGTATGCAGCGTAGTCGTAATGTCGCTACTGTTTCGTGATAGATGGTAGACAGGCAAGTATCGGGTGCGTGTTCTTCACAAGAGATAACGGCTCTCAGCGGTAACGCATCGTAGCGGGGCATAGGCTTATTATACCTTGCGGCCTAAACACTTCCTGATATTGCTATTTCTGCCTAAACTATTTTACGATCAAACGGCTTTTTTTTTTTTTTTTTTTTTTTATATACCGATTCTTAATTAATATACCTCTCGCATATATCAGACTTATGAGCCTTGAATGAAAATACGGAAGCTTATGAATCACCGCGATCATAATGACTGGTGATCACAAAGTAACGGCTAAGCATTCTTTTTCAATGGACAGAGAGCGATGAAAAACGCTATTAGCTGATAGCTCGCTTGAGCTCGAAAGATCGGCTATTCCTGATGAAGATATTGATGCAAACGAGCCACGCGGGACGCACAGCGTATCCTCAACTAGGGATAAGTGCATTACACTTTCGACACTGAACCAACTATCAATAATAAAAGTACACAGGAAAATGGCGCGAATTTGGACAATAGGATCGTAGCAATTTGAATGCCGGCGGGCTCGAAAGTGGCTGCTGATGATAATTCAAGGTGAAGTATTCGATTGAAGTAGCAGTTGACTTTCTGCCAGCGTTTGGTCGGGCGTCGTTCGAATACGCAAACCACTGGCTTTTTTCTATGTACAGATGTACGTATTCGTAATCGTTCAGCTATGGCTATTAGAATTAGAGGCATCATAAACAAAGTAGCTAACTAATTGTTTTTTCAACGGCAGTCTTGATTGATTCATGATCAACTCGCTGAGATCGATGACAAATCCACAAGCCCATCAATGGATGCCTTGTCTTAAAACATCAGTGCCTACTTAAGATGGATACATCTGAGATGTTAAGAAACGAAGTAATTGTGAAATCGTTATATATCTAGCTAAGTATTTTTTCCATTAAGGGGTAATATTCATAAACTAAATTAAACCTCAGCTATTAAAAACTAGTATGAAAAGTTACTAGTTCACTAAACAAAATGTTTAACATCTCCGAAAAAAATGTATATAAATTTCTCAGTACAGATCATAAACTACTCATATAATACTGTTTGATTTAACTGTCCAGGTACCTTTAAAGCTGAAAAAGAGATTATCCATGAGTGAGTTCCATTCTATCGCAAAAGACTCTCGGTGGTTACTTGAACCTTTTCAAATATAATTTCAGTGAGTCCCAAAGAGACCTGAGTGGGACGCAAGGCCAAGTAACAGGGCAACTAATCTGACATTACCAAAAAGACAAGGTAGTTCAAATGAATAAGGCAACATTGTTTATATAACCGGCTTGTTGTCTAGACAGGACATACGAAGTCCTGCCACGACCATCGAAATGTCAGTAGCTATCTCTTCCGAAGATCAAGAGCATATCATTAATGAAGGTTTTGTTCTTAGCGCAAGAATAGGAATTGTACTAAATTAATCAGGATTATAAAACGTACACGTTTGGGTCGAGCGTACGGGCGATGAAAACAGAATCGAGTAGAATTAATTTACATTTGGTGATTTATTAGGCCCAAAGTTCGAATGTAAACCTGGCTCCACTTTATGGAATTGAATACGAATAATCAGTTAGCTCTTTTTGCGTGAACAATAGAATCCTGATTATGACTCCACGTAGAAAAAACAACTTCGCTATGACAACGCAATGATCGTCATCCTGTAATCTATTCTCTCTATTTTGTTGGGTCTATTGAACAGTTTCTATTTGCAATTGCCTCTTGTGTTGCACAGGTACGGTTCATCGATTGTTAGAAGTTCATTATGCTAAAACTTATCTTAGCCCATTTTATTCAGATATTACCTTATAATATTATTACTAAAGGTACATCATAGGAGGAGTACATCAAAGGAATAGATTGCCAGTAGATTACTACTAGGTACTACGATTCGAATTGAATGAGTGAACTTCGTCACCAATTATTCCTGTGTGTGTGTTTTTTTTTTTTTTTTTTTTTCTCTTTTCGATGTGGTTGTCGTGACGGTAAACTACCACAACGTTCGGTTTCGGGCTACATATCTCTGTATTTATCATACGGATATCTACAAGACGATCAAAGCGTCTTTTTAGAAGACTTTTTGCAAGAATGACTGTGTAACGTGATGCATAATGTCGGAGATGATTCTTTCGCGCGCCAGCAAAACGTAACTATGTTGACGCTGAAGCTGCTATCTTGAATGAAATGAGCATCTTGATAAATGTTTAACTGCTTAATAAATCTAAATTAACGCTGAATTTTACTACGCTTTTAATAATGACCCGGGTTAATTAGTGCGGCTTCGTTATTATAAGCGTCAAAAACCTTTTGTTCTCAATTCCATGCTATCCATACTAGATGAATTCAATTAGATCTAATTTTAATCTAATCTTTAACAAGGAGGAAATCCCTCATCAATGAATCTTGACCTCTATGATTTACTATTATATTAATCATTTACCTTCTGCGTTCTTCTGAATATAATTTTAAGAAAATTCTCAAAACATCTTTGCTGCTCCCTCTTACACAGAGAGCCATCGACTAACCATATTCGTATTTCTCTAATCTAGAAAGCTGTCGCGTCAATGCCAGAATGATTCTATCTGTACGCACCCTTGGTGCTTTAAACAGCAGACGTTTTTTGGACGACGTTATCATTTCTGATAAGATAATCCCATAACATGAAGTAGTTGATGAGTCCTACAACAAAGCTCAGCCATATGTTTTGTCAGAATATAAGGACCTCCTGAGATTCGAAACACTTTCAAAGTGTGGGGACGCTGTAGCGCGCCTTAGCTAGTTACAGAAACACACAAAATCCTATAACGATGAATCTATGACTATTTACAGCAGAAATTTTTTTTACGATACGGCTATAGCGTAAATGTGATAACGATAGATTGGGTAAAATTAAATAACGTTAATGAGTTGTATTGAAACATATTGTTTAAAAGTTGAGCCGTACCTAGCATTATCCAGCAATGATAAGGAAACACCGTACGGCGTTTGAGGATTTCGCATACCGCTTATAATTTTTGTAGCGTTAGCGCTTTCCATACGTAGGCGTCTCTACACAGGCCTAACCCTTCATGTTTCGATATAGAAATGACGCCTCTCATCGCACAGAGACACGTAAAAGGAAAATTCTTAAAGGAGTCATTTAAAGAGCGTTACCTCGTTGTCTGTGATTCGCAACAGTGAGCACTTCAAAAGAGGCCGTCTAACCTGAGGAAATATCAGCGGTTACCAAGGCAATCGCCTGCTGCAACGGCCCAGTTTCGATGTGTGCACATACTAGACTTCTATTCTATTCTATAGCTGAAACGTCGGTTGTTACCTTCCTGATTTTCATCTTCAGTTGCCCCCTCAAAGCGAGGCCACTGCTTATCGTGCGATTTCGTATGGCTTCGAAGCAAGTGTGCATCCTCGTGTTAAGAATTCTTCGCTGGTGATCGCTGATGTTTCACTAATGCAATCTCTACAGCAGGCCTTGATCGTAGCAAATGAGGTGACCGCTAAAAATATAGTTCAGCGCAACTAGGAAGCACTCCAAGATGCTCTATTCAGAGCGCCCCCAAGTTAGCCCCGGGCTAACTTCGACATACTTCCCATTTACTTGCGTTTCGGACAAATCGAACTGGCTGCGGATATATATATATATATATATATATATATATAGTTATACAGGGCGAAGCCTCACCAAATCATCCCGTTCCATGCCATAAGGTTATAGAAAAATATAAATAAATACAATCAAAATAAATGCCTGGATGTTAAGCAAGAGCTCGCGCTAGCTCGGTGCATTTGAATGCCATCTGGCTCCCCATTGGGCAATGCAAAGCTATTGTCTCCGACCGAGCCTTATTCGTATCTGTGTGTGTACTGTCTGTTATATGGCCTGCTTTGCAGAACATGCCATGTTGCAAGACGGCCAAAGTGGCCAAGCCCAAATGCAGACGCAACACCCGACAAAGAACGAACAGACAAAATAGAGAAATACTCTTTTTATGCGGCGCATTATCCTGAGCACGCCAAAGGCCTGAACGAATAGATATGAATGCAAGAAACCAAGAGCTGTTTTATCTTCGCAGCTAGTCTTGCTTTCCCTAAGCTGTCTTGTCTGGATATGCGTATCATCATTTGATGCTTTCCAGGAAGAAGCCTGCGGCTGAAACGAAATCTCGCTGAGAGTCCACGGGAGTGTAACGCAGATTGGCCGACCTCTGGATATTCTCGATCTGGGCGTGCATGATACGGTCGTATTATTGTTGAACAGTGTAGCAATTCAAATACCATTTATCGACTAAACATAGGGTTATCGACACGAAAAGAGAGAAGGGTAAAAGAGAGGCAGACGTGGCGACCAAGAATCGAAATTATTGCACGATGTATAGAAGGCACGTATACTCACTCGTTCGTGTCAAAAATGGACGGTTATGCCAGCTGAGTTATTAAAAAACAATGCCGAAACATTATACCAAGTATCACACTTGCAAGACCATCTAACAGCGAGTGATAATATGTCAATGCACATGAAGGTCACGTAAATTAATTGTTATGTACATGTCTGCCTACGAATGCTTCAAGGAAACGAAGAGGATCGCCTGTAATCTGTTGTGGTTCTTAGCCACCTAAGCGACTCCTTCCGTAGTAAAATCACATCAGCTAATACGCTACTCATACCGGAATAGGACTGCTGTGCCTATTGATCCAAAAGTCTGAATGATCTGCTTCAATAACTGATACGGTAAGGCCCTAATTTACATTTGCCCAGCATGTCTACAAAATAAGAAAATTCGCTAAATGTATATATATATAGGCTTGTTACTATACCCACCTGAAAACTAAAAGGGAAAGCGGTTTCCGTTTTGCCATACCGGCTCCAGTCTTCTTGTACATCCTTCGGACTTTCCTCGCATGTCGCTTCAGCCACGACTCCATACGTCGTGGAGACGGACCGCAGCAGGACGGTACCGAGTTAAGCGAGTACATCGAATCACCGGACGCTGCACAATCAGGCGCAATGTATGTAGGCTTCGAAATGACCTGAGGCGTCGTCGAGCACATCGTACAGCACGCGTTTTTGCATGGCGTGCTAGATGAGTTGTTGCATGTCAAGGGTTTCTGTAGCAATAAACGTCTGCTGGATAATTGTTGTTTGCTGTTGTGGACGCGTGAGGCCATCTGGTGCTCTTTCAAAAACGCCAACGGCTGGATCCCGACTGATGTACTATCGAAGGACATGGCAGTGTATTTCTTGCTCTTCGGAAAATAATGAGCACCGCGTGGACGGCGTTAAACAAGATGAGTTCGGAAATTGACTTCTGCTATATCTTAGGTAGATAGAAGAACGACACGGTTTGAGTATAGAAGGCACAATTATAGTCACACGCCAGAATCCCTGTGTTACTTCCAACTATATCTATATATAGGATGAATAGAAAAGTCGTAGTTCAATGTAATTCGCAATGGCTTTAAGGTAACGCCTTCTTAAGAAGCCTGCTGCAGGAACACCCACGTTGAACGAGGTGAGTTCCTTCTGTTTCAACTGCTGTGTATAGGCACGTTATCGTCTTCTTGTTCATACGCCACTTTTCTGTGCTAGTTTTCCATACAATCAGTTGCACTAGAATTGCACAGTTATAAAAAGCGCAAAAGCTACAGGAAAACCACGCAGTCGTGTTGCAGGGCCTCCCAGCTAACGGCGTATTCGAAGCAAGGTGAAAGAATCCTGCAATCACTGCGGTAATACAGGAGCAGGGATCGGCGGTAACTACAGTAATGTTGCAAATGTTATGTAAATATCTAGTAGTCGTCGTCGCCAATGCTGCTGCCGTTGCTGCCTAGGTTTTGTTTTTCTTACGCAAGCAAAGCATTCCCTTCGAACGACTTCATGAACTCTGAGCGCCACGCGGGTTCATCCCTCTATTAATAGAGGAAACACGTTGCTGTTAGGAGAGGGAAAGTCGCTCGATAGAAAGGACAAGAAGGGAAGGGGCGATAGACAGATTAACTTATCGCGAAGCTTTTTTGGTTTTGTGGCGAAGCCGGGAAGATGATGGCGGACGAGTGCGCGCAAAACCGGGGGCGCTACGAGTGAATCAGAACCTCAGAACAGCTTTGGCGGGATATGCCAGGAGCGGCGGCAGCCACGTCACCGGCTCCTTTCTGAACTATGAAACTGTAGATAGGAACGGCTATGGCAAATAGCATTCGACAACTACGATAGCAATGATAACAACGGTTACGACAGCGTAGCTAAAAGAAACAGGTTACCAAGTGGCAACGCAAGACAGGGCCAGCTTTCTTTGCGAGAATGAAAAGCCACTAACCACCTGTGGTACCCTCTTCAGCAGCCCAACGATTCTGTTGTGCAGAATGCAGTATCTCGTAAGTGCAGAGGGACTGTAGAAGGGACGAAACATTTGTCTACAGTTTAAAAGATGAGTGCTAATCATTATAATTTCAACGTTATTTCTATGGTTGCTGCTACTTTTTAAGTTAGGACAAGTACAATAATAAAAAAAAAAAAAAAAAAAAAAGGTAAAAGACAATACAATGAGGTAAAAGCGAAAAGAAATTACGTTCCTGTAATTGTTACAGAAGGTTTTGCTGCAAGTTCAATTATGACCGATTTAATACGTTATATCGTGTTTTTTTATTCGTATTTGTTGATAATAAGAGCTATTAAGTCACAGCCGCGAGGGCGACAAACGAGATTGTTGGGCTGACTGATGTTATTTTGGGCATACTTGCCCGAAAAGTAGCCCTAGGGAAAAGAACGTATCCTTCGAACAAACAATTATTTCTTTCTATACAATAACTATATGAGAAAGAATATTCATTAGAGACAAAATTAAAGAATATTGCTCTAGAAACGTATCAGAAGTACCCGTCTATCGATTAAGTTGTTCAGTTAATATATTGTTATGATGCATATGTAAGGGTACTTCAAAAAAATCTATATATATATATATATATATATATATATATATATATATATATCAGATTAGCCGGTTTTAGTACACTCGTGTTATTATTTTGCATTAAAAAAAACCTTAATGAACCTGTGAAGATGAAAGCAACATGACAGTCTTATATAGAAGATTCGCGATTATGGAGGCTAAGACAAATAGACGGGTAAACCCTGTCGTCGAATGGTTATATATATGGCGAGAACTGTATTCACTAGATAGGCCGTCATCGCCCTTTGGCTTATAGCGAAATTCGGCAAAGAAAAACTAAAAAAGCTGGGCCTTAGTCGGGTATAAAGTTACATAGTCTGGACGAGAGCCTTAGGTCGGTTTTTACGTAGAATTGCCAACTCTAATAGCTTCCGTAAGCGTAAATTTATAAAATTTACGCTAAATATGAAACTCGTACTGAACTAGCCGTGACGGCCAATTATAGTGCAGGCGCGTCGCGCCTTGCTTGTAAACCCTAATAATTTTACAGTTGTTAGAGGACGAACCTTCCTATTTCCGTTGATTTCCGTGACCACAGACCTTTTATGCTACTTTATCGAAACTCGAAATGGTCCACTTGTTGGTCTATTTGTCAAGAAGCTCGCTGTCTGAAATCGCGAAATGGCTAGGTCCATTGTCGGAAATACTTACGTTATAGTTGGCCAATAATTCGTTTCAAAGTAAGAGTAGTTCGAGCTTTCACGTCAGGTACTATATACATTGCCGTAGAGGGCTGACTCCTATTGCTAAACGAAGTATGTCTATGCCCGCCTTTAAACTCAAACTACCACGTGATTTAAGGTTGCCAGACAAAGACGTTACTACTGCGCTATCATAGGCACAATCATTAGCCCTATTGGGCAGCCAAGCACCATCAATATTAACTTGGTAGGGTCCATGTTTTCCCGTACGAGTGATTTCTACATGGCACTTGACAAAAGAACAGAATGATACTGATTCAATATTTAGCATCTCTATTAAATGAGATATTGTATGTTCCTACAATGCCTTCGTTTATAAATGATCGTGAATGGCATCATTGTATCGTACTCGATTTAAATGCATTGGCCGGTGACGAGTGCTTTTAACATGTTATATATAAGTTTCTATATAATATCCTAAACAGTTGTTATCGTTGGTTGTGTGTTTTTTCATAATATTGTAGCTTGTGAAAATTTCAACAAGCCTGCTTCCTTCTTTGCTGATTACTTTCCGCTTAATCATTCAAAAAACGTGTCTGAAATGGCAGAGCCGCTATATGCCGAAGTAGTCTGCTTTTGTTTATCAAGTGAGTGAGTCGCAGGTATTGTTCGACTTTAAGTGAGCTATAATTCATCATAACAGTAGCGTGCTTCGTTCAATAACTATGACTAAAATAAGAACAATACCATACTACATTTGACTGAGCGTAACTCATCATATACGCGATCTAAATAGAAACCAAAAGCTCTGTCTTGACTATCGAATGAATAAATGGATTACTCACACAGACACAGACTTCCCCATGCCGCCTAGTCCATAAAGCCAGACGACAGCGCAATCTGCCGTCAAGGCAAAGCTCCTGGAAAATAACAACTGCCAAGATGACCCCTATGATCATGGTAATGCGACCCCAACCGGGAATGGCATCGGTTTATTGCTTTTTTGTAGCCATTCTTCACAAGTTGGCTTATCTTAATTTGTTTTGGTGTTCAGCTGGATCAATCGGATCACTTGAAATATCCGGCCTCACAAACTCGAACTAATTGAAACAGAAAAAAATCATACAAAAGAAATACTGTATGCTTGGCCCGTGCACCAGCGCCGCCATTGATAGAATGGTCATCGCTATCAGAGAACTGAAATCGCTTTCGAGATGTTTAACCCGTTTGTAGAGGCTTTTGTGCATATTATAATCTCGGCGCGTCGCAAAGATAAGCATAAGCGAATGACGTCATTGAGACTGTCACAACAGTGGCTGCCGGCCAGTTGACGTGTGGCGTTTGGACGTCGTTCAGGCTAAGTTCTGTCGTGGTAGTCTTCGATAACTTTCTGTAAACGTTCGAATTACTCAGTCGAGCAAAAAGTTACCAGGAAGCTTAGCAATGAAGTTGGTCCAATCAACAGCACGAAAATATGTGTTGTTAAGCTTAGAAAAGTTTTGGACCAAGTTTGGACAGTAACAGGTTATAAATCTATACATCTGTCCATTCCTCTGAGCTATCTAACGGGATAAACGTGTTCTAAGTATCTGAAACAGTAGCCAGGTTTTAAGCAATCTTCCGTAACAGAATTTTGGCTGGCCTGCTTCTTATGCCTTTAATAGATAAGGTTTGGTCCTTATGTCCAAGCCTCGGTAGTACTATACATGCACTGTATTGCTTCACGCGTTAACGTGTTGAGCTTTTTCGATACATACATACAGCATATTTATTTTTTCTGTCATAGCTAGACAGCGTTGTCTTAGTTTGAGTGACGCATAACGCTACATCTAATTTTAATATATATATATATATATATATATATATATATATATATAACCGTGTATGACGTCGCATCGTCGGATATGTTTCTGATCAATAGCGAAAATTAACTCCTGATTCTCGCTGAGTGGTCCGCATGGGTAGGCGGTCGCTTCTCAGAATTACCCTCGATTCTGCGTTCACGATTACCACCTGCCGCCTATCAAAATTAGAAAAAGGGCTTAATTAAATTCTAGCATAACGTTTGGTTTAATGCTCAATTTAACTTTAATTAAGCACACTTGGTAGTTCGAAACAGCTGTGATAATCCTCTGCATCCGTCTCTGTGAAATCGTCTCAACCAAACCATTACTTCCGCCGATTTCAGCGATATCCGCATGCAGGTCTTGACGGTCGTAAAAATCAACGGCCTCATTGAGACAACAATACGCAAGGTCGATTTTCGAGACATTTCCTCTTTGCCGATTTTACTTGAAACGCTCAATTTTATTATCTTGGGGTGATACTTGATTTACAGGCCTAGCGGACGGGTAGATCACGCATATTGTATAGCTGATAGGACGCTCACTGATTAGTCTTAGCGGCGTCTTCGATGCAGATGACGCACTCATTCTACTGACCATTCCGCCATATTGGTCGCAATTGCGATTGTGGTATCGCGAAGAAGCCTTGAGAAAAAATGTCCATGTACGCTTAGTGGCTATGTATTAAATACTTAATTTGCTCTCCGAACACCTGTTTCTGTGATTTAGTCTATATTAAGCACGTTACAAAAACAGTTCATTACCGTATACCGGTACGAGTGTGGCATACGTCGATGTTCACATTTAAACAGGTATAGCTTGAGAAGTGGCATGCTTGCTGTGAAATAATTAACTTAGCTCTCCTTCACAGTTTCTCTAAAACTTAATATGATTAGCAAGCATCTTTCGCGCCATTCAAAAGGCCTTGCAGAGGCAACAAAGCATCTGCCGCTTGTAGAAGATGCTCGTGTATCGTAATATCACGCGTCCAGGAAAGTGTAGCTTTAGCGTCTAGGGAGGCGCAAAAAACCGTACGGTGACATATGATGAGTCGTACACGACCATACGTGTCTTGATGTGACCATACATGATCTTGGTCACACAAAAGTATTCCATTTTGTCATCTTTTGGAACCTGTTAGAGCCGAAATCGTGTGAGCAGGTGCTTCAGCTTTGCAATCAACGTCTTCAATGTAGCGTGAATCGACGGTAAAGTCTAGATTTCTACTTTCACCGATGGACACCTACCAGCGAATAGCGAATAGTACGAAAGGCTACCTTTATCTGTAAGCTGCAATAAATACTTGTAAGTAAAATACTTGGACTTATAAGATAATTATAGAATACTTGGAATCCAAAGGGTTTTGGATAGGGCATTTTTTCCCGGTCAAGTTTGGACCCTAAGAACGTAAGAAGGGTTACAAA